CATTCTTATCTAGTTCTATTCCTTTATTCTGTTTGCTTCCACTCATATCAAATGGTATCCAAATACACACATTCAAGAAAGTAAACTAATTTGACTGTTTACGTTTCAGTCAGTAAGATAAAGCCATTAAAAAATGAGGTAATAAGTGAACTGAAGATACTTAAATACTCTCATGTTTTCAAGGCTACAAGTGACATTTGCAGGCAGCTTTCATTTGTTTCAGTTTGCTGGGGGAAAACACCCATTCCCCTGCACGTAACACTGCAGGTGTTAAGAATTTCAACCACTATTATAAAGTTATTATTTTAGTATGTATTTTTGAGTCCAGTCATGCCAAGTGGTACTTATCTTTTGTAATGCAAGTGAGCTGATTGAAGAAACTGAAAACAGATTCCCTTTTAAAATCCATGAAATAACTGGGAACAGGACTATATCTATCTCAGGTTATCATAGCAACATTTCATGTATGGAATCAGAATCTTGCAGGGTGCATTCAAAATCCACAGGATGTCTTGAGTGCTAAAGTTTTCAAGAGGATCTGTACATTAGCAAATAAACAGGCAATGTAAGAATACAGGTTTGGCCACAGATGTAGCAGCTAGTTACACATAAAGACTAAGGCTACTTCACCTAATAGTAAGAAGAGAAACTGATTTAGCTTTAAAAAACTTTCAGACAACAGTGGTTTGTTCATCACTGTACCAAAAGAATGGGGTTAAAGAGGTTGGGGCAGTTCTGTGTTGTAACTGCAACTTTCTAAGACATACAAAAATTAAGCTAAGAGACATGAAGGATCGGATGTCAATTTTCTAAAATAACTGGAACCTATCAGAATTCAAGTCACAATTTTTGCTGCAAATAAATATTATTTTCTTGAGTGCGCTACAGTATCTACTGTACTGGTATAACAGGCAGGATGATATAACTGGTGCAACAGACAATTCATTAAAATTTGTAAAAGATACAGTCAGCTGAGCAGAAGAGGAATATCTTCCCTACCCACCACAAAGTACACACTTCACTCATCCCTGGTGTCAGAAAAAATGCCAGGGCTTACCCTTACAACAAAGTGTCTGCTGTTGTCAGAAGTGCAGTGAGAGGTAGGTCCGAGGTACTGCTGAAGAAGGCTGAGCAGCAGCACCAAGCACTATACACAGATTAATGGACTTACACAAAAAAACATGCTAAAATCAGAATGTTGTGAAGTACAACATTCAGGGGGAGTGTCACGAGGATGGAGCCAGGCTCTACTCAGTGGCAAAAAATGATAGGACAAGGGGTAATGGGTACAAACTGGAACACAAAAGGTTCCACTTAAACTTGAGAAGAAACTTCTTCTCAGTGAGGGTGACGGAACACTGGAACAGGCTGCCCAGGGAGGTTGTGGAGTCTCCTTCCCTGGAGACATTCAAAACCCGCCTGCACACATTCCTGTGTAACATTATCTAGGTGTTCCTGCTCCGGCAGGGGGATTGGACTAGATGATCTTTCGAGGTCCCTTCCAATCTCTAGCATACTGTGATACTGTGTGTGATACCCCAGCTTTTCTGTTCTTTACTGGAATTTCTCTTAGTACCAATTTGGTTTGTTCTACAGGACTTTCATTTCACTGAGAAAGTATTGGTTGATTACCAACAAACAACAGTCAAAACATACGGGAAGTTTTGTTTCCTGTTTCCATTACCTCCTCTCTCCTCCAAGAGAGGTAAACCATACAGCAGGATAAAAACAAAAATCTTTTTTTTTTACTTTCTTTGGGATTTATCACAAGTGTTCAGTTGTACAGAAGGCAGTTTAGCCAACCTGTTCTTTCTGCAATTTACGTTACTATATGGAAAAATCTTTAAGGAAATTTAAAGCTAGTGTGCCTTTCAGTTTCCTGTTCCTGAAACGCATCATTGTATCCATACTCCTCCTGGTTTTCACTGTGCCATTTTCTCCTCTATTGTACGTTATCTTCATCACATTCACCTGCATTCGTTACAAACTCTTACTGATTTGTCTTCATTGTTTCTCACCCATAAGGTTTCTCTTTATTCAATCGCCATACTCCAATCTGAGTCTCATCTGGGCCCACAACATTATGCAGTTCTGACATCAAACAACTGAAATGTTCCAAGAGCTGCATTTTCTCACTTTAACAGAGGTTTAGACTCAATCTGTTTCCACGCACTACATTTTCTCCAGCACTCTGCTCTTCAAATGTAACTAAAGCATCTTCAGGTTGACCACTAGCCTCAGATTTGCTAGCAGACATTTGGCATCTATGTTCATTAAATGTCTTGAATCACAGAATTTACCAAATTGCATTGGCTTGAGCAGTTAACAGGCTTCTGTGGTGACAGCAAAGCATTCTACAGAGTTTCACTGTACCCATACAGCTACATAGGGCCACAGAGCGTCTTCTATCTGCATTTTAATTTGCAACTCTCCCAATGTCTGGTGGTTCTGACAAACATACATGTCTTTAAATTTCCTGGGACTGCACTAAGGCTTTGGTTAGTTTCTTGCTCTTCCAATCTCTCACTGTAACTTTCCTCTTCTACCACTACCAAACTGCAGGCACTTGTTCATCGCACTCCTTCCAACTGTACAGGCTTGGGTTGGCCCCAATCCTCTTCTCACTTTACATTCACACTAGGAATAACAAGAGGTTGATAAAAGAACTGCCTCCCCATAAGCAGTCTAGCACTGGTAAGGTCGCTGCAAAGAGTGCCCCTACTTCAGCTGTGACCTAGAATTTAGCTGAGCCACTTACATTTTTCTCAGTTCTGCCAACCAGGTAGAAAAGCATCAAATTAAGTTTTCTAACACTCAGTAAGAATTCCAATTGGGATCAGGAGCTACATCCATGTGCCTTAAATTTCAGTCACACACACATTCAATGCTAAAACTCTTTAAAAAACCCTGTTCTACACGTTTAATGCTAACAACAGATGAGGCAAGTAACAGGTAAGTATGAGCTACGTAAGAACAACATCTCATTTCTGATTTTCCATCTGCCATAAAGCTGCACTTCAAAATCTGAAACAAGTGATGATGCAGTTGGGAGGAGGTGAACAGTGCCACATGGCACAGAAACGGTGAGGTGCAACATTTTACAGCACCTAGTAGCACAAGATAAAATAGTTGTTAAACAACAGGCAGTCTCTGCCAGGAAGAAAGCCACAGAATGCTTCCGGCATGGAAAACTGAAATAAGTGGTCTGAAAGTGTACTTGAAACAGCCAGAAGAATCACAGTATTGAAAGCTAGTACAGAGGTTGACCAAGGAATTTTAGTAAAATCCCAACTTCTTCCTCTCGGTGAGGGAGATCTCAGCAGACATCCACAAACTCAAAATCACCATAGTCACATCAATCTTCACAAGTGAATGAGATCCCTGGAAAATTATTCCACTGTAAAACCCTGGAGTCACTTTTCACACAACACGTATCAAAATGTTCCCCTAAGCTTTCTAACACTGTCTGTCATCTTATGCATCACAAGCGAGATGAAAGAGTTTCTCTAAGCATGCAGCCTGACCAACCTTGCAGCTGACAAGCTTGCAGAGCCACAATAGAAGGGAAGCAGTTTTTCTCCATCAGTGAATATCCTCAGCCATAGGGTAGACTAGAGTGTTAGATCTACCCAGAAAGCAAGTAGATAGGAAAGAAATGCAAATGCATCCAAAACCGCAGTCCAACCATTTCATCTATCAAATAACTACCTTATAAATATACTAATTTCAAAACTGAAGGCATTTAAATAAACTTTAAAGTGTAAAAGCTTTATTTACCCACTGTCCCCTGAGAAGAAGCGACCCCTTCACCAGAAATCAAACTAAAATCGTTCCTGTAATATATCAAACATTCCTTGCTCTTCAAAACTAAAGCTGCTGTACATAAATGACATGGCTTGTCAGCTACATAGGGGTACAATGTATTTTAGTAGCTTGCGGGTGTTCAAATTTTCCACCTCACAGCACTGAATTTAATTACATAACAATGAACCTCTGCCCTTACATAACTTGTTGGCCTGAAGTTGCTGCAGCTATCTGCTGGGTATTATGAAATTTTATAAATGGTTTCTAAAAGTCAGAATGTTCCATGTAACAGCATCAGACCTTAGAAAATAGAGGTCTTGAATTTTGCTATATCAGTATGGAAAAGGAAAAAAAGAGGGAAAAGAGGAAGAATCTTTCAGGAAATCTGTGCTTGCTGATGCAGCCCAAACTACTGGGAACAGCTACCTCATGTACTGTTGAGATAAACAATTCATTTTCATTATTTTTCATGTTTTGCAGTATCTGAAACAAGAACAGACTGTTTTCCTGAAGCCTGTACAGTTCAGTTTCAGATTTAACTTATTATTTTTTTTTAAATCCGCATGAAAATGAGAATAAAATGGAAAAAAGCTTCTTATGTTTTCAATATTACTTACAAGCAAAAGTATGCATAACAAGCCTTCACTCTCCTTGACTAACTTGTCATAATATTAGAAATACTGAAAGTCCAAAATGAGTACCTTACCTTTTGGTCATATTTACATGTGTATATGCATTATTGGAAAATCAAAAATACAGGAATCAGAATGTAACATGGGACTTTTTCAGACCCGCTCAGGAAAATCCTATAACTCATATAATTTATGATGTCACAGACCAGAAGAGCAAAGCCTGTAATTGATACATTAAAGTCTGCAGCAACAAAAATACATGATTAACCTGAAACAACACTGACATTTAAGCACTTAGCAATCATATCTCAAAAGAGGCTTGATTTGACTTTGTGGTGCCATCCAAGTGAAAAAAAAAAAAAAAGCCAAAACCAACTTACGGTGCTTTTAAGCTGTGAATCCAGAGTTATTTCCATGCTTATTGCTTAACGTAATAAAATTAGCTAGAATTGCTCTAATCTCCAGCTAAGGTAAAAATCCTGAAATCTTCTCAGGAAACAAAAATTTATTCTGCACCATTAAGTCATTTACTCAGAAAGATAACAATGTCATCTTGATGCTTACCCAATCATTGCGTTTTCCTTTATCTGGCCCTCTGTGCCATTTACCATTGGCTCTTGATTTCTGTTTTCCTTCTCTGAAGCATCACTTGAGAGTCCCAATAAAGCTCGTACTCGTTTTGACTTCACATCCAATATCGTGTCGGTGTAGCCCACTTCTTGTAGGTATCTGTAGGAACAGAACTCATGCTAATCTTCTATGCACACCTCTTATTCAAAACAGTAAATGAAAACTTCTCTCTAAACTCATCTTCAGCCCTTTTGCTAAGCAAAGTATGGTGCTGTGCTAATGAAACATGCTTATAAATCATCCTGTACCAGCTGCAGAGGGATCGCCTCTTGCAGTACCAGCCTCTACAGTCACTGAGAGAAAAAAAAACAAACACAAAAATAATCAAAGAGCCTAGCAGTCAGAGGTTATACAATACGTTATTCATTCATTTACTAAAATGGGTGGAAAGGCACTTTCTATTAAAATATTTACAATTGGCTTATAAAAATCATCACAGTTACATGTACAACATGACCATTTTATTCAATACACGAAGCCTGACAAGAAGTATCAGATACGTTCCTTATGTAAGCATTACTAAAAACCTAGAAAACAGAGGGAATCAACAAATGCTGTAGCTATAACTACTAGTAAGAGTTGTTATTTACACACATTTTGATAAAATCTTTGTCTTGCCTTTTCCATATTCTGCAATGGATCTGCAAAATACTGTTGTGCACATAAGGGCTGGAATCCTGGAAAAAGGTCTCTGTCCTTTCTCCTTTCCTCTAGAATACAGAGCTAATAGCACTGCCTTCTCAGGGGCACTGGATTGATTAAATGCTCGATACTCTAAAGGACTTGAAAGAGGGAAATGCTATTTTACAATAACAGCTGTTACAGATCAAGGACATGCACTTTTCCTGCAAGAACATTCTCCTCCAATTATTTAACAATATCCTCTACATAATTACATTAGGAGAGAAATACTGACTGTTGGCTATATAAAAATCAAGCAGGTCACCTAAGCAAAACAAAATCCGTCAGCAATATGCATGCTGTATTCATTACTGCATCATTTATTAATTGTGCTGAGAAGAAATGACTTGTCTTCAAAATAACTGATCCAAGTCAAGTTCACTATATTTAGATAATATTTTATATTAATAAAATATTTAAACAGTAATAGTTTTATTTATTTGCATTTCAACATACATGAAAAATTTGGGCTCTTGAAAAAGAAAAGCATGTACAAGCCATCCAGCAGACAAATTCAACTTCTGCATAATTCCTTGGGAAAAGATCTTTTAATATAAGCTCCAGACTGTCCTTACTGTCCCACTTCCCTCTCAATTAACCCTCTGTATGACACACACAAACACAAAATAAAAAGCAAAAGCTTTCCTAGCTGATTAGAAGACCTTAGAATCTAACTATCAGCATAGGTGATGAGGCAAATCCATGAAAAAACAGTTCGAGACATTCTGACGAGAGGTCTTCAAGAAATCTCATCAATTTAAACTCCAGGCAAAAAAAAACACATAAAAATGTGACCAATTATCTTGGAAATTGACCAAATATCTTGGAAATTGACTCACGACCACAATTCAAAAACTAATTTAGATTAACAGACATTTGCTTCATTGAGATGAACTGAGAATTAGAAAACTTCTAATCTTCTTTTCTGAACCTGAAGCAGGCCAAAATAAAAATTATTCCTCTCCAACACTAGTTTGTATTTTGCACTGGTCTTAAAGAATTATATGTGCTTGTTGGCTTATTGCAAAGTGTCATGACCCACTGTTCGCTCAAGCAGATTGTTTTATTATATTGTGTAAAGGAAAAGCAAAGGAGATCAAGTGTTTGTGATTTGACAAGGCTTCTCCTCTGAAGTTCTGAAATATTAAAACTTTCAAAACCTAGGAAAAGTAGGGCAGAAGCTGAATGAACCTCATCACACACACTAACTTTTCTTGAAAGAAAATCTAACAGAAAAAAAGTCAAATACCACCATCATCACATTTCATTACCAGATGCCTTCCCTTGCATTTGTTATCCGAGTCCCTTTTTCAACACTTACTGTCTTAGCAGCTGTCGTCCTTGTTTCCATATTAGCTGACTGTTCTGTTGTGGCTGAATCTCTGTCTCATTCCCTTCATCTGGAAAAGATTATTTTATTATGAACATTTTTTTCCTTGTCCTACTTCTTAAAAAGATGCCCATCCACTTGAAAAGACAAAAGTGATTTTTACTAAAATGTTTATGAATGTTTTAATAAAGATTCAAAGTACCAATAATCAACCAATCAAGAGACAAAAAAATGCATATAGCACATAATTACAGTACTATGTACACATAAAGATTGTCAGGTACATCCTACTGTGCAAGTGCCAGTTCCACTATTCATCAGTTGCTTCCCTTCTGCCTCACATCCAAAAGTCCCATCTTACTCCTTTCTCTACAAGGGCACGTAATCACATAGACAATCTGGAGTTCCATTTTTGCATTAACCTTCCAACATAAATGCTGCTCATAATTTCAGTTTGAATACAAACACCTTTAACTGATCACAATATCAAATGCAACTGCATCATTATATCCATTTACAACTCACTGTCCAACTAATTTCCTTAATATTTGACAGTTCAACATAAAACCAACATACCTACTCGCTTTAAATTTGTCCATATTTGTATTAATTAGCTTTGTGGTTGGGGAAAAAAATACAACAGTGGCTGTTTACTTTTTATCCTGAAAAACTGTTGAAAAATTTTCACCACATTTTCCACAACCATATATTTGTATCCGAACAGTAATACTCCAGGAGAATCCACAAAAAAATTATGTGGTTGTTCTGGTGAGAAACCTATCTGAATGCTGGCAACCAACAGCTACATATTTATTCTGTATACAGCTTCATACTACATGATGGTTGGGGTTTTTCCTCTCCTTCAGGAGGCACATGAGCATATACATCCCAAGATAAAAGATCTTGGTTTATTATCTACGAAAGCATCTATGGAACTTGAAACCCTTGTGGTCCAAATACTGAAGGATGAACAATCTTCTTGTGTAAACAAAGAACCAGAAAAACCTGTAGTATAATCCCGTGAGTAACTTTGTATGTGATGTGGGAAAGCTACTGTCATTTACCTTTGTACAACTGTATTAACACAACACACACAAAAAAAAAAAACCACCACCCACCCAAAGATCAAAGACTAATCAGAATTCACATGCCAGGAGAGCCATATGAATTTAATCCATTTCAAACTGACAAATTCATTTAACAGCAACCATAGGAAATAATCAATTGCGCCATGATTTTCTGATGACAGCTGAACACAGCTAGACCCAATGGACAACTACGAAAGCGCAGTCATGATTTACTTGTTATAGACTGAGGTAAATCTGCCTGAAATTTCCTTTTGAAAGCAAAACCCCTTCTTCCAAAGGCACAATTACATATATATACAGGCAAGAACTCCCTTTCATTTAGTGTCCTCAAAACTGACCACTGCTAGCAGCAGCAGTTTACAGATGAGAAGGCATTTGTACTATGAGCAAATAACAACAGAAGTTACCACAAGCAGTTAAAAAAAAGAAAAAAAAAGGCATACCTTTATCAAGAGACTCTCTCCCCAAGAGATCACAAAGAAAACAAACAACAAGGACTCATTTGGAAGAACTACTAGAAATAGTTCCACTTTTTTTCCTGACTGGGCAGGAAAAACAGAAGGGTTTCGGTGGTGGAGAGGTCAGACACAAATATACAAGTAAGTACCTACCAAATGCAACTCTAAAAGGAGCATTTAAAAAATCTTCTGTTTTAAGTGTGTATCTTTAATCAGTCCAGATTTGATACAGAATTGTACATTTCTAGCAGCAATGTATCTAGAATGCAATGGGATACATCAGGATAATGGATTTTTAACAAATGTAATTCCACTAATGTCCACTTTGCAGCACTGGCTAAGGCTCTTCTGAGCAAGTCAGCCCTTGCACTACATTCCTCAGCTAGAAACTGGAGCAACACGCTACAGCAGCATCCTGAAAAATTACAAAACCCAAGGATGTCTAGGATCTTGGTATGATCAGGAAAAAGTTTTCTAGTGGTCTAGATATAGACCAGAGTCGTCCACTTAGTAACACCAATTAAACTATTACTTCAGTTAGGGAAATAATCTTGATAATGTGAAATAAAATTTCTCAAAACCTCATTCCACCTTGGACAAGAAAAGCTTGGTGTAAAGTTTCATCAGTTGGCAAGGGGCTGGATTTTTTTGTTTACATTTTAATGGCCTTCTGAATCCAATAAGGTAAGAATTGACCATAAGAGTAAAGAAGACCATCCCTTTCACAAACCAAGTGACAGAGCTGAGGTCTGCAGACTTTCTATATTCTTCCTTTATGTACAGGTGGTTCTAGTTTTGTTGCTGTAGTAGGAACATCAGGAGACTGAGATACAAAAATCATCACCTATTACTTTTCTTTTCAAGGCCTTGACCTATAAGCTGATCTCTCTACTCTTTTTTTTTTCCCCTGAGGAAAGGATAGGGACATAGAGAGAGGGATAAAAGGAAGTAATTTAAATTCTTAATTCCTCAAGTTCAGTGCTTAAAACTATTTGTGTGAAGAAGTAACCTCTAAGGAGATGCAACCTCCAGAAAAACAAATCAGCTTTCCAGGGACCAAGGTGTAAAACTGTCCTCTCACAGCATGGCACGGTGAGTTAGTAGTATGCATTTCCAACTGTCACTGGAATTTTGTAAGTAAATTCCCACTCTCAAACTCTCACGCCTAATACGCACTCTCATTACTTTTTGCCTGGAATACCATTCAAGTAATTGAAAATATTATGTACTATACATTCCACATCCTTTGACATTAACTTCTTGTTTAGAAGAATTATTCAAAGACAAAAGGATTCTATAGCTAAAAATCCAGTATCTCCCTGTTCTAAAACACCCATGCATATTACTAAGGAAGAGAAAAAATTATTCTCTCAAGTAGCAGTGTGTTGGTTTGGGTTTTGAGTTTTTTTTTTTAATCTAAACTCATTTATAAATAAGACTCTTGAGAGCATTAGCATACATTTTTAATTTTACAGGCGTAAAATACAGTCTTTATTAATTATCTCTATTCCCACCAGCTTATTTTATTAACACTGTCACTTCAGCATTTACACAAACCACACTCAAGCTTTTATGCCAGTAATGAGCTCATTCTTAATAAATTCTTACCAGAATCATAGTTTGGTGGCTTCATATCTCCCTGATTCAATTCTGTGCCATATTTTAATTTGTGATATTTAGCCCTGAAAGAAAAAAAAAAAGAAAGAAACTATTAGTACATTTAAAGGGCACCTCTGAACATACAAATGTCACCTGTCTTGAGAAGCCACTCCTTTCTTCCAGGCTAGGAACAAAACAAAGGAAGCAATTTCAGCAGGACTTCAGATACATAATTTTTCTTAATCATTTTTTCCAAGGTTGGCACATAATTGCAAAGTGAATACTGATGAAATACAGGGATTAGTGGACTGCAGATTTTACAAGACGTTCTTGCTACAGGTTTCCTCCCTGTGGACAAGTGATACTCTGTTGCCCTCCCCACCCCTTTTTTTTTTTTAACGATCACTATGAAACTTTTTTTTTCCCAGTTCAATGCCATCTACTTCATATTCCACATTGTCACCTCAATTAAGCAAACCTTAGTTTTATTCTTTGAAATGCTGTGCTTTCCAACAACAGCAGGCATTGGCTGGAGCTATTCTACATCAGATGTAGCACTGACAGCATCCCATGCAATATAATGGCAGTAAGAATAGCTACAAGAAAAATGAAAATGCTTTTTTAATTTAAAAATCTTCATCCTACAGAGTCACTGTCTATAGACTTTTTAAACACACAAAAGAATGCTTACAAAAGCATTACAATGCACACGTAAGTTATTAAAAATTCATTAGTCTTATAACACAGTAATAGAGGTAAAGAGAGCCTTAACCAGTTTCACAATCTGCTCCCCCCTTCTCTTGCACTCACCGTAACTTTTGTCTCTATGATTGTTTTTTCCCAAACATGAAAACTGAAGACCACTCAGAAAAACCTAATTCCCTACAAAGTTTTGTAATCGTTCATAAAGGGATAGAAAAGCAGCATTCATAGTAGTTCCTACACTGAATAAAAAGCAGGTAAGAATTCAGGCAATGCTGGGCATGCAGCCTGTCTGTAGTGGCACAACACAAGCACACACACACACACAGCTCCAATGTACATGTACGGAGCTCGGTATAAAGCAATAAGATCCAGGCCACAAAAGATAAAAAGAAAAAAGGAAGCAAACAAAAACCCATCAAAACCCCTCACGCACTCCAACATGAAAATGGGCTTCATTAGCTCCACTACACAGAAGGGAACTCTTCCACTTAAAATGGGGTTTTTAAAAAATTAATGGGTGTGACACTTCATAATTGTGCAGGCCAAGTCTCACTAAGCACGAATGACTGTATCAAGAACGACTGTAAGTAATGTTTTCAAATTACCTGCACCTCTTGATTGCTTCTCAGACATTTTTATTACATTACTGGAGGATTTTTTTGCCTTTTCCCATTTCATTAAGAAAACTCATTACTTCTGACAAAATGGTGCTAAGGGAAGCAATGCTTGGTAGTTATTATGCTTTGCTATAGACAGTACTACTTTCCTACTAATCCAACTGCCTTTTAATTATAATAAAAATTTAATTCTGGATGAGAAGGGTAAATAAAGGCAGACTGAAGAAATGTGTAGCAGCAATGACAGATGAAAGAACTGACTTCCTCCTCAAGAGCCAGGGCCCTAAGCTTCAACTCAGCTGAGCAACAACCATCAATAAAAGGAGAAAGGATGCACCTGAAATACATTAACAGCAACAGGGATAAACATGTTGGTCAGTAGAGAAGAGAATAACTAAGAATATAACAAAATTAAAGCTGAATGCTCAATCAAAATATTTATCTTTCCTTTTCCAGCCGTCTTCTACATCTAACTGGCAGCGACATGTTACCTTGGTAAATGACTGCATTACATTATCATTAAATACTGATGCTATGTATGCTTTTTCCTCCACCACCACTAATAAAAAGCAATAACTAATCAAGAACTAGGAAATCCTCTACTCTGTCACTAACCTACCTCACCAACTATAAACACTGTCAAAAACTTCCAATTTTTATGCAATCAATTCAAATGATCCTAATGTTTAACCTATTGTGATTTGACTTATCAAAAGTGAGTAAGCATTAATACTCTAATTTGGATTAGTGACCTATACTGTGCTCAATTCCTGCCAATAATTTCAGAGAGCAGTTAGTTCTGTGGCATGAAGCACTTGCTTTTAGCTCTTGGGTCTTATACAAAGTTCCATTATCCTCTATGCATTCACTGATTTTACGGTCGAAGTTTTGTTAGTAATTCTTACCCTAAGAACCAAAGTAAAATGTCTGCTATGTTAACAGAAAGGATTTTTCCTTGTATTCTTCTTACTCCGCAGAACTCTCACTTCCTGTCTGAAATCTACTTTTTAAAGATTCAGCCTGCATTTTTTTTAAACTTCCCAGTATATTTATCCTAATCTGTTAAATCTGTGTATGCTCATTTTTAATTTTTTTCCCCACTTAAATCACCAATAATATTCTTCTTGCTGCTTACTGGTCTTCCCTGCTCATTAAAGGCATTATAAAGTCAGTTCAGCAAAGTGAGATTATTCATCCTATCCCCATTCTAAACTAGTAACAGCAGGTTTTTTTAACTCATAATGCAACAGTTTTAAAAGCCTTTGTTGTTATTCTTCAAGAGGATAATCCAGATTAAGTGGGTTTGTATACCACTGGCCCTTAAATTTATCTGATTAAGATTTCATCTTTCAGAAAATTTAAGTTTGTATATCACAGGCAGAGATCAATAGAACTACAGATAGGCAGAAAAATCATGTCCTAACAAAGGTGGGAAATTGAAGAGCTGACAATCCCAAAAAGCGATCCTTATTTTTAATATTTCTGGAAAAGTTAAAACCAAAAAGCCATAGACAGACTTCTGCCTTCACAATATGACCAAAACAAACAAAAAAAAAGGCCAATATCAAGCTCAAACCTACAATGACAATCAGTAAGTGTAAATTCAGGTATCTGAGCAAGACACTGGTCAGATGTGAAACGGAAACATGAATACCATGTCAGAGTACCTGACCTGCTGAACTCTCCTTCAGCTACAGTCAGCTTCTGAAGTTCAGAGTAATATTAAAAAAAAAAAAAAAAAAAAAAAAAAATCAATACAGACAGCAGCTAGCAGTCCATCAAGGAAGTTATTTTCTACCCTTCTTCATCCAGCTTCTATGAGATTTGTTATTAGACGTTTCCTACCGTGCAGCTAGAAATGTCACAGGTTTGAAAGACAATCTTCTTTCTAAAGCACGCTAAGGAAAGGGCTCAACACAAGTTGGACTCCAAGACTAGAAAAGAGAGTCTTGACTATTTAGTTATGCATACTGCAAACAAAGGCTACCTTCTCATAAAAGAAGCTAATTCTTTTCTATACAAATTCTGAATACATCTTATTCCATTAGCATGTTTATATTTTACCTATTTCTACAATAACAGTGTCTCCTGATCACCTGTCATGCTTAATTTCTCTGCTTTTCCAGAAATCACACAGTCCACTTATTAACAGTTTTGAACTGGTCCTTTGCACTTCACATTGAACTCCAGCTCATACATCACAGCAGTGAGGTACTATTACCACAAAAAAGAGCATATGCATTTTTTCTGTAAATAAGTTAAAGAAAAATCAAAACTTCTCCAACCATTGTATCATCTGGTCAAAAACAAGGATAGTGGTTTTGAGGTAGGGGAAGAAGGAAAACAAATCACAAAAGATGAGCCTTTACTATCTGAAACTTGTTTAACTCAGATCATTTGCCCTCAAATTCCAAATATTATTAATAGTATGCAGGGACTGAAAAATTACTTTAGAATAACCAGCTGAAATATACAACTTTATATAAGGTAATTTTTCATCAGGAAACTAGCCTTCAATTTGTTTGGAAGAAAGCTATTTTGGAGCTGTGAAACTTCGTTACTGGGTAGATGCCCTTAACTCAGATAAATATGAAAATTACCATTGCTTTGGCTTTTGCACTTCATTACACAATTCTGCTTTTATGATTGGCAATATTTTATTTAAACTATGTGTCTTCTATACAAACAATGCTTGGAGACATCCAACATGGCTGCCACAACACTTCAAGAGTTGCCTGGGGAAACATTTAAAGCTTTCATGCGTCTAAGTTTCCTAAAACTAAGAGCAGTGAAACTTTTTTGAATACTTCACACAGAAACAAGTTTGATCCCGATTAAAAAAGGCCATTTTTTCTTGGAAATATCTGTCGCCAGACCTGAAGCATCTGATCCAGCTGTGCTGAGGGAGCCTGCCAAAACATCCGCAGAAGATCTAGAAGCTGCCGCCAAACCAAGAGACATAAACAAGGACAATTGCCAGGAACAGCACAGCGAGATACTCTGCCCAGGGAAGAAGGCGCCTGCCTTACGGTGATCAGACACACCAGTGCTGAAAACAACATAAAATTAAATCTAGGGTTTCTAGAGACATGGCTCAGGAGTCCAGTTCTTTGATCAAAATCCATTAAAACAGGAAATGAGCTAGACTAGATGAAACAGGACGTGTACTTGAGAGAAGCAGTACTACATTACAGCTAGCTCCTAAAAAAATCCAGAGGAAACAATGCCATTTACTGGTGGTGGAGAAAGTATTGATAAAGTAACAAAAAGTAACCCTCGACTGTGAACAGCTTCACACTGCAGTCTACTGGATGTTGGCAAAACTACATCAAAACTGCTGTTGGAAAGTGATATTACTTAACTATTAGCTACCTCCTCCTAAGCTTTTTGCCAATCAGTGTAGTATTAAGACTATTCAGCAGAAATAATTGGGCTTCCTATACACACAAGGAAAAGGTAATCCTTAAAGATCATCTAGTTCCAAACCATCTACTGTAAGCAGGGGCACCTTCCACTAGACCAGGTTGCTCAAGGCCCCACCCAACCTGCCCTTTAACACTTCCAGTGATGGGGCAGCCACAACTTCTCTGGGTAACCTGTTCCACTGTCTCACCACCCTCAAAGAAAGTAAATCTGCAAGTAAAACTCATGTCCCACCTTACCCAATACAGAATTACATTAAGTGCCACAAGATGAGAGCAATGGCAATGCTTTCGAAGTTTTTTATTTATAGCAAACTTTGAAAATATTTGGTTGATAAAAGAAATGCTGAACACCTATTATATAGAACAGCAGCTCATAAAAACATGTATCTGAGAAAGCCAATGTCACTCATTTCTTGTTTGTAGTTTCCTGAGAGCACTGAACATGAACTAATCTGGGCCAAAATTTCATACTCTGCCCCACTACTCATAACTTAATTCATCTAGCTAAGAAAGATTTGGTATGCTGCAAGGCCAGGGCAAAAATGAAGGAACACAGGAATGATTCCCTGCCCCCTCCCACCCACACCAACCTTCCCCTAACTTGACCAGAGCTCCTCCTACCTTGTAGGATTTCATTTTCCAGGTCCAAGATCCCAGTGGAAAAAGCCAGCACTCCAACTGACTATTGCCTGACCCAGCCAATGACTGATTGAAGAAAATGCTGGGAAAGGGAGCAGAGCTTGCAAGCTCACTATGTTGCCATTCTTTTAAGCATCAAGCTAGAACACTTGCCGAGAGACATTTCCAGCAGAAACACAAAACTTTCTTCAGAAACTGGCAAATAATAATGCTGCTCAAAACCACAAACTCATAAATAGCTGTCCCTAGCACACACTGTTCACAAGAATCACATTTACTTTATAAACTATTGCACACCCATACTGAAGCTGTGAAACTGGATCAGATCAGCTGACTGTAGCCTACTGACCTCAGAAACCAAAGATAATACCATACACTGCATGTAAAACTGTGTAAAAACCGCTAATATGAAACCACAATATTTTTACCTTATCCTGACAGCGACCGCTACATTAGGATTTAAATGTCTTAATTTAGACATATTTTACTGAATTCAACAGGGGGACCATCTCACAATCCACAGAAGTTTGATTTTTTATTTATATTTTTTTAATCTTACAAAGCTTCTCTGATAACATATGTATTGACATATTCTGATAATTTTAGATAAACTGCTAATGTATCTAAATTTATGTGGGTTATGAACATGAAGCACTAGAGATATCCCTAAGTAATGAGGAATAGCTCCCCCAGTTTTGAAATATGTAAATCTTACTGAATTTACATACCTTAGAGCATATCTTTAACTACACAAGAACACACTTCATTGCCTCTGTTTTTTTTAAGTGACTCAAATCTTCATAATTATGCATCAAATCTATACATAATGGAGATTGCTGTTTACAGCTGTGCAAAGGCTTACATGTGGTATACAATCACTACCACAGCAGGGCATGGGCAAAAAGGTTCTCTACCTTAAGCATTCCTCTAAAAAGTCCATAAAGGTGAAGCAAGCATGCTGCAGCCCGGAAGCTACTGCTGGCCAAGAAACCTGGCTGCAACTCCATGCTAGCAGATAAATTGGTTGCTACCGGCAAGAGCTAAACTGGATAGTACAAGGTACATCTCACGTCCTAAAGCAGCCCATGTAAGATGAACAAATCTAAATGCAATCCAGCAATGTACAACTATTAGTACCCCTTTAAAGTCATCTAGCAGCAATATGCTATTCCTCATTTGTATATGTGTATATTTCTAATCTTATTTCTACTAATACAAACTATTTAAAAGAGTTTATTTACTAATATCTCATTAAAGAGAAGTAGGAATTATCTGATAGGAAAATGGTATCTAAGGAATGATTGCTTTGCAGTAGTACCGTAAATATACTGTTTCATCAAAGAATTGTAAAAGACACTTTACTGATAAAATTTTTTAAAAATAAACTTGGAAAAAAAAAAAAATCAGTTGAATAGAAAGAATTCTGGAAACATGGTAAACAATCCAGTTCATTTATCTCAAAGTTTAGAACAACAGGAAAGCATACATAAGAATAAAATGGTAAAGTAGACTGGGGACTTCTTCTGAAATCCCCATGAGCAAAGAAATAGACATCTGATTAACCAGTAAACATGAACATTTGTTTACCCCTCACACTATCAGCCTCCACAAGATATTCCTGTAAAGTCTATTTTATTGAAAAGATTAAAAAACATAGCAAGATTAAAAACTAGCAATCACTAGACTGAAGACAGTTACTCAAGATTTCAGTTATCAAGAGATTATTAAACAAAGCTAGTACTTTGAACAAAAAGAGAATACACTGTAGTTCTGGAGTATAATCTGTACAAGTAAGTGTAATTTTACTAAGGCAAAAGTATTCATCACTGATCAACCAAGGGTTTTATTTGCATGTTTTCTTAGCCATGCTGTGTTAGCTATTGGTTTTACTATAATGTAGACATTCATACCAAAAAGTTTATTTAGTATAACAAGATTTATCAATTTGAGAACTGAATATATATATAAGAAATAAATCTTATTTTTGTCAAATACAAAGGCAAAAGAAGTGTCTGTGTTCAGAATTCTTCACCATGTACCCATCACTAAAGCAGCATACCTTTCCTGTTTAAGCGCATATTCCAACATTTTGATCCTTCGCACTAGATCCTTCTTCAGATTTTCCTGTCCTTTCCTTTCACCTTGAAGAAAGGCGATCTGGGCCTGCAAAAGGAAGTTACAGTTTAGTATCTGCTTCCTCAAAACCATCCAGCAGCATAACTCTTGAGTGTGTGTCTCCCCAAGTTATTTTAATGAATTTTAAAATTAATTTGTATTGTTTAAAAGAAATTGGCTGTGTTTCATAAACAGTAAACACACAAAACAGTGCATACATAACCCTTCTAAATTGCATGTGCATTACAGATTAAAGGGAATAAAAAAATGAATAAAGCAATTTTAGTTTGGTTTAGTTTGTTTGACAGGGTTTATTTCCTCTCGACTAAACATTTAATAGACAATAAGGAACAGACAAGTGTACAAAAAAGCCATCAGCAGATAAAAAGCATTTTCAACAATAAGCAGAAGACAATAAAATATTTCTGCTCACTAACTGAAGCAGTATATAATTAATGTACTGTTGTATAGATAGATGTTATATACATGCTACTAGTGAAAGAACTGAAGTACAGCATGCTCAGCTAAAAGAAAGATAAAACCCTGCTTATAACAAAGTGCTATTTGTAATTCTAAAATAGGTGAAAGAAAGCTCTCAAGAAATACTGCAATTAAGAGGGAGGAAAAAATGGAAAACAGGAAAAGGTATTTTGGTGAGAGCGATGAGGAGAGAAATGGTATAGAAGTAAATAAAAGTGGAAAATAGACACCTAACCTTTATCAACTTGTAGCAGAGTATTTAGTTGTCTGTGAAAAATCTCCTTCAAACAGAAAATTATTATATATAAAAGATATCTATTCCTAGTCATAAAGGCAGAACTACATGCTTTTGTATCTCATGCTCAAATCATGTCCACTATAAGAGGTAGGTTCTTGTGCTCTCTCAACTCCTGAATACACTCAAAGATCAGACAAAGTGAATTTTACTCTAAAAGTCCATTTGTTGGTGGCAGCTATAGTAGCTGCTCTAGAATATGACACAAGCTGACATAATTCCATTGCTCAAGTACAGCCAGGAAATAGCCTGACAGACACCTGAAGAATCCTTAACCACCAGTAAGCAACTAGAGCAGCCAGATTATGATGAGTAAAAAACACTGGCTACTTTCCAATGAAGCTGGTCTTCACCTTCAATTGGGGGAAATGTATTCACCAAAAAACTCTCAGCTGAATCAAAAGTTCTCTGTCACTGGCATCAAGCTTCTCCTCACTTAACACTCAAACGGGGATGAACAAAGAACTACAACTGAATCTAACATTCATCTGCTTAGATTTAGAGAAAGGCACAGAAAAAAAGACATGCTGGCACTGGGAGTCAGCACTTCCTACCCTGAAGAATGGAACTGTGCAAGAAGCATGTCAACTCAACAAGGTCACCATCCCTCCCAGTAATAAAAGGAACACCTCAACTACATACAACTTAGTTTGCAGTAACTGTACAGACACAAAGATTATAATGCATATATAACTAGCACACTGTGGTAGTGATTCCTGTCTCCCTGCCTCTGAATAGGTGCAGCAGAAATAAACCAGTAGCCTTGTAGCCAAAAAGCGAGAGAACATCAAAGCACACTATTAAAAATAGTAGGACAAGATGCAAATATGCATTTGGCTGGAATGAAAAAGATCACCCAATGCCATCAGGTCACAAGCTGAAGTGATTTATGAGGTGATCTGCTGTCTGCAAGCACAGTTCTATGAGGTGACCTGCTGTCTGTCTCACTAAGAACAAACTGACTGAACAGGCTGGAATGAAGCATGTTTACCCATTAGAATTGGCAAAGGATAGCCAGTAATGGGCTGGCTTACGCACTGCTCTACCTCAGAGGTTAAAACAGCATTACCATGCTAACAATTGAGGTTAAAGTCATCTTCCGTTGGTAGTAGCCTAAACAAAGAAAAAAAATTGCAACTTCTCAGTAGTTTTCACAGCTTACTTTTGTAAAAAGACACAAAAGGATTTGATTAAGAAGTATCACATGACACTGCTTTTATGTGAAAATGGGCAGAGTCAGCTTCCAATACAAAGCAGGCCTGGCTTCGTGACTTATCTGACTAACCATTTGAGAACCAAAATGCAAACTGTCACCAGAAGCTTCTTAAGCACATAAAGTAACATAAATTATGTTCTTAACTCTACCTGCGAAGCTGAAACACCTTATGATTCAACATCAAGGAAAAGGGGCCACCAAAAGGCTGTATGTATCACACACATATTACACAGGAAGGAGAGCACTGGAAGAAGTACTGATTCTTTGGACATCTTTTATTGTCAGTGGTATGCCACTGCTCTTACTGATGCTGTATAATTTTTCTTTTTCCTGGACTTTCAAGAAATCCTTGTGTTTCCTACTCCAAAAGCATGCTGCAACAACAGAGTGGAACCCACAGCCCAAGAGTCATCTCTGCAGGCCCTATACAAGCTTATTGCCAGGATATTTCAAGGTTACTATATGATTCATAGATCAGTAGTTTTACTGGCAAATCAAGAAACAGACAAGTGCACCAGGGGGCTTGTGAGTAATATTGCTCTTTCCTTGGAGGCTGCGCAGTTTCTAGCATAGCTTATTAATGCTTTTCTTTTGAGTAGTATCCTTGTGTAATAAGGACGTAAAAAATAATACTCATTGTTTTTGAGAAATTCTGGCTCTGAAAATGAGAACGCTTACATTTTCATAACAAAAAGAGAATATCCCCCCCCCCCTTTCACACAGGATGTTAGCAACCCTTATTCCTCATTTATATAAATACTGGGTAATTACAACTAACTCAGCATCAGTTATAAATGTAAGCTCAAATTTCATTAATTTTTTAAAAATTATAATATTTAGGATTATTTGTAATGAACATTAGGATAACATTAAAATAGTAACTGAAATACTATACTAACAATAATACTGTAACAGTCTATATGTCATAAGCAGATTTCATCCTTTACAATGTTTGGCATTTAACTGAAAATATGCAGAGAAACCTAAATGTTCATACCATAACTGAAAAAAAAAGTAGTATAAATGAAAACTGAATAAATGAATACACTGAGTTTAGATATTTAAAATGACAGATTATGAGATCTAGCAGTATTTTCTTAGTCTCTAGAACAAAATGGTTGTAACTTCAGGATCACTATTTAGCCAACACCTGTCTAAATGTTTGGGCAAACATTTGAAGTGTAAGAGGTCTGAGTTTAAACACAATAAAAAGCAAAGCTGAACTGTACAACTATAGTCTTTGTACAATTTGGACATAAAAGGAAGAATTTTATCAATATATTGAGACTCCACAGGCCATTTTCCATAGTTGCAGCTTTAGTACAAGTCAAATCTGAAGCCTGCGCTACCTGAGGGAGTAAGCAGAGGAGGATTGCTTCCGGTTGGAACAATCTGCAGCACTGTTCTATGCCTGTGCTTTGGCCACTCATGGGTAGGTTTGCTAAAAATCTCAAGAATTCACAAACAGGTTCAGCCACAACTGACCTCCTAACTAATAAGGTTAAAATGCATCAAACTGTAAGCTAGTCATCCCAACCCTCTAAACTGCCTACAGGGGATCACACAAAAACTCAAATTGTTCCTGGCCTTATGGGTGGGGCACATCAACTGCCTGGCCCTGTTGGCACTGCAGCAAGGAATCAAGGCAGTATCCACCCTGAGTTTATTCCAGGCTAAGTGCTACAAGATCCTGTATTACACCTCAACTGTGAGATTAAAATCAAGAGTCAGGAGGGAAAATAAATATAAAAAATAAAAACCAGAGACCAGTGGGAAGAGATGCCTGGAACGGTCTCTTGTAGCTACAACTGGATTGTCCAGGATTTCCACCCAACCCCCCCCCCCCCCCTCCCCAACCCCATCTTACTGAAGTTTTTTAACTGCAACAAAAACTTTTTTGGCCAACCGTATCCTGGGCTGCATCAAGTGTAACCAGCAGGCTGAAGAAGATGATCCTGCCCCTCTACTCTGCTCTCCTGTGACCCCACTTGGAGTATTGTATACAGTTCTGGTGCCCTCAACATGAGGAAGGACATAGAGCAAGTGCAGAGGAGGGCCATGAGGAGACCTCCTAGCAGCCTTCCAGTATCTGAAGGAGGCATACAAGGATGCTGGGGAGGGACTCTTCATTAGGGACTGTAGTGATAGGACAAGGGGTAACGGGTTAAAACTTAAACAGGGGAAGTTTAGATTGGATATAAGGAAGAAGTTCTTTACTGTGAGGGTGGTGAAGCACTGGAATGGGTTGCCCAAGGAAGTTGTGAATGCGCCATCCCTGGCAGCATTTGAGGCCAGGCTGGACAGAGCCTTGGGTGACATGGTTTAGTGTGTGGTATCCCTGCCCATGGGAGGCGGGTTGGAACTAGATGATCTTAAGGTCCTTTCCAACCCTAGCTATTCTATGATTCACGAACTTAGGAATTTCATGCACATCCAGTCTAAATTTATAATACTGTAGCTATCTTAACTACTCCACTTCTTTACCAGGAGATTTTAAAAATAACATTCATTCTTATGTTAAAAATGCTATCACAGGCAACAACATTTTTATTTTAAGAAATTCCCCAAAAGACTCTAAGGTCACATTAGGGTGAAGTGGACAAAAGGGTGAGGAAACTTTTAGGTAGCACCTAAATATTTAGCCTGAACAGAAAATGTTTAGAAAGAAACAACACTATGGCTCCAAAACAAATGATGCATGTTTAGTACCAACTTCTAGCAGTTCCTGAATTTTACAGCCATTTTAAGTTTAAAGGTGATTTATTCTTAAGACTCAAGAACTAATAAAAGCCTTTCCATTGTCGTCTTTAAAATATTTATCTTAATATTTCAAAAGAAACCTCACTTCAAATTTATGAGCACTTGAAGGTCCTCAGGTATCATTTGACAAAGTAAGAGCTATTAAGATGCACAATTCTGTATATTCTGCTTCTGATTCAACAAGATCTTCACAGGCTGAGAGAAAAAGAATAAGGGAGGAAAAAAACCTGCAAAAAAAGTATTGCAAAAACCATGCAGATAGCTAAAATAACTAAATACATTATACAGATGAATCAG